TACTGGAAAACCCTAAGACTCCACCGTGATACCTACCAGTACACTGCTGACTGGTTCTCGTACCAATGTATGAAGCAACTGAATAATAATAATAATACAACTGAATAATAATAATAATAATAATAATAATAATAATAATGATGATAATGATAATAATAATACTAACCCATTCCCCAGTTCTGTCCATACATGGTGACTGCTTTCTTTAGTTTCATGTCTTCTTCTAACGTCCACTGACTACATAAGAATATAAGGAATCAGTAAAGATGTCTCTGTGGAATCACTTCATATTTTTATTATATTTTCTGATACATATTGATGTCCTTATGCTGTGTAGCAAGTTTGAGCTAATTCCGACAAATATTTTTCAAGTTACAGCCATTTTAAGAAAATTCCAAAATCTGAAAAATACCCAAGGCTATAGCCCATGGTTTTTTTCCAAAAAAATGGCTCCGATATCATCCCAAATTTTTATTACATTTTCTGATACATATTGATGTCCTTATGCTGTGTAGCAAGTTTGAGCTAATTCCGACAAATATTTTTCAAGTTACAGCCATTTTAAGAAAATTCCAAAATCTGAAAAATACCCAAGGCTATAGCCCATGGTTTTTTTCCAAAAAAATGGCTCCGATATCATCCCAAATTTTTATTACATTTTCTGATACATATTGATGTCCTTATGCTGTGTGGCAAGTTTGAGCTGATTCCGACAAGTATTTTTCGAGTTACGGCTGTTTTAAGAAAACGCCAAAATTTTGAAAACTGCCCAAGGCTATAGCCCATGGTTTTTTCCAAAAAATGGCTCCGAAATCATCCAAAATTTTTTTTTACATTTTCTGATACATATTGATGTCTTTATGCAGTGTAGCAAGTTTGAGCTGATTCTGAGAAACAATTTCCGAGTTATTATCATGTACATATACAATATAGACATGTACATGCTCTTACAGGTACATGTATTCTAAATTTTAAAAAGTTGCTTCAGTGACACATAAAATTAATATCATTACTACAGTACATGTATGTACATGTAGCCTCTCTTAATAGACACTCTATAGCGTACACCTCCATTTACTTGTATGGACAGCACCTACATGTATTAGTAAGAGTATATAATAGGGAAAGAGAGTATCCAACTGCCCTATAAGGCTGGTAATATGTCTGCGTAAAGTTTCTTAGTATTTTTACGAATATTCTCGTTTAGGCTACACTGTAAACTCAAGTTAGTATAAAGTTCACATACTTTTTACTAAGGAGATGAGAGCTGGTCTTATAGCACCTCAAACACTGGACAGCAGTTCTTCCAGTGTTGAGTTCAGTAGCAATGTCCTCCCAGTTATACCCCTCATATTTCTTTGCTAGTTCGTTCAGCCTCCATACTTCATTGGGCATCCATTCCTTGTGGTTGACCGACGGCTGAAGGAAGTGCTTATAACGAAGGTATAGCAGTCATAGGCCGAGTGCTCAGAGTTGAACTGTTTGTATGCTATTGTGTTCCAGTCCAGATCATCTGAATGGACTAACAACTGATGGGCATTCTTAGTCCTGGGGAGAGAGAGAGAGAGAGAGAGAGAGAGAGAAGTAAAGAAAAAAATTTCAAAAAATACACCATCTCTTATGTTATGTACAGTACATGTACATGTACATGCATGTACTGTTATTATTCTTATCTTTCTTGTACTTTAATTCAGTAATTTGAGCTTGGAGTTCTTTAAGTTCATCAATAGTAACATCACTCAGACCTACAGTACAGATACATATACAGTATACATTATAACAATAAGGAATGGACTCTACTTGGAGCTTTGACCCTGTACATCAGTGGACGAGAGGTCTATTCCCCTCCAGTTGATTCCAGGACACACTGTAAGAGACTTTAAGTTAGATCTAAATTTAAATTTAAAAAATTAATGTTTATTTTAATCAATTTTAACTAAGCATCAAAATACAAAAAATAGAAAAATTACTAACTCCAAAACTACAAACAGGTGACCATTAAATAGTGTCATTTAGTTCAGTTATAATATCATTCATTGTTGGACGGTGTCTATACTCAACTATCAGGCAGCGTTCAACAAGATACCTAAACGAGGCTCTTCTAATACCATCAATAAGACCTACTCTCTCTTCTGGTAGAGGAATACGTCGTGTTATCATCTCTAGAAGGAGGACACCATAACTGAACACATCCATTGAAGGAGAGTGTTCCCTTGGATTCCCTGCTTCAGGTGCTGCATAAAGTGGGCCACCAGGATTGACTGACCTAATTATAAGATGCTGAAGATTAGCTGATCCATAATCAGATACTTTAGCCTTCCATCCTCCAAGTCCACCTCCCATTGGCTGAAGGAGTACATTAGCACTGCTGACATCTCTATGTAGTATAGGATGAGGCTTGAATAGATGAAGGTAATTGAGAGCACAGGCTACATCTAAACTGATGCTCAGTATGGCAGGATAGGCCAGTCCTACACTCTCTAATTCCTTTCTTAGGCTGGTTGGCATTAGCTCTGTCAGGATCATTGGATACCCT